CACAGGCTTACCAGTCTCTGAGGAGTTACGGGAGATGGGCTACCTGTGGCGACAAACTTAACGGATTTTCACATGTAGTCAAAATATCGTTTCTAAACCGTATCTTTTCATTCTTGAAATATCAAAAAACTTCAATAAAGATGGTTCAATAGTTTATGAACACTTTTGGAGGGGTTATTTTCGATTTTCATGCTGTTTTAGTGTGTTTTGGGAGGGTTGGATTTCGACCTTCTCCAGAGTGAAGGTATGTCCCCGATGACAAGAACATCCTGTACATAGTGTACTAGAACACGCTGGTTGGAATGAAAATGGAACAAATTTCCATCCGATGACGAATCTCGATGAGAAAATGTCTCCGATGACAAGAACATCCTGTAGATAGTGTACTAGAACACCCTTGTTGGAATGAAAACGGGACAAATTTCCATTCGATTACGAGACTCGATGACAAAATGTCACCGATGACAAGAACATTCTGTAGATAGCGTACAAGAACACGCTGAATGGAATGAAAACCGGACAAATTTCCATCCGATGACGAATCTCGATGAGAAAATGTCTCCGATGACAAGAACATCCTGTAGATAGTGTACTAGAACACCCTTGTTGGAATGAAAACGGGACAAATTTCCATTCGATTACGAGACTCGATGACAAAATGTCACCGATGACAAGAACATTCTGTAGATAGCGTACAAGAACACGCTGAATGGAATGAAAACCGGACAAATTTCCATCCGATGACGAATCTCGATGAGAAAATGTCTCCGATGACAAGAACATCCTGTAGATAGTGTACTAGAACACGCTTGTTGAAATGAAAACGGGACAAATTTCCATCCGACGACGAATCTCGGTGAGAAAATGTCCCCGATGACAAGAACATCGTGTAGATAGTGTACTAGAACACGCTGGTTGGAATGAAAATGGGACAAATTTCCATTCGATGACGARACTCGRTGAGAAAATGTCACCGATGACAAAAACATCCTGTAGATAGTGTACTAGAGCACGATTATTGGAATGAAAACTGGACAAATTTCCATCCGATGAAGAATCTCGATGAGAAAATGTCTCCGATGACAAGAACATCCTGTAGATAGTGTACTAGAACAGCTGGTTCGACTGAAAACGGGACAAATTTCCATTCGATTACGAGACTCGATGAGAAAATGTCACCGATGACAAGAACATCAAAATGTCAAAATGTCCAGCAATTTCAAAATGCGCGGTGTTCCTGTTAGTAAAACAACCGCATTGTGTTCGAAAGACGGACATTTTTTCACTCCGTTACTGTCTTCATATCAAAATGTCCAGCAATTTCAAAATGCGCGGTATTCCTGTTAGGAAAACAACCGCATTCTGTTCTAAAGGCGGACATTATTAGGAAAAATGTCCGTCTTTCGACCACAATGC